AGTTGTACGAGCAAAATAATAAAACTCATCATTAATATGGACAAATCATAGAATTATGATTCGCTGGAATTTTGTTCACAACTAATAGTGTTAGCTTGTGCGATTGATGAAGCATTATTTACTGGAAATAATTTCTACATCCATGAATTGAGCTAAATTATGTAACTGGAATATTATTCTCCTGAGCAGCACACATGACATGTTTTGTAATTTAAATTTATCGAGAATAAAGGATACAGTAGAGATGTGTCTATATTCTGTAGATAGTTTCTCTAACTTTGTACTTCGTTATGTGTTTACTTGTGCAAATATTTTTCGAAATTCGAACAAAAATTACCCTTGAGTGAACGTATATTTCCTCACTGGAGATTTACCCTCACAGACAAGTTCATTTCTTAAAAATTTCATGACAACGATATCGCTTTGTCAATCTTCTTATAAAGCGAATATAAGCCACTGTAGCTACAGCATCTGTTCAGGTTACGTCAACAATTGCTTGGAGTTTTCCTTTAATTATATCTATATCTCTAACATACTCTTGGAAATATTTACCTATGTAGGGTTCATCTCATTGTTACAAATAAATTCTATCCAAAGTACTGATCGTGATATTGATACTAGTGTTTTGTTGCTGAAAGCCAGCAAGGTATTTATGGACGCTAGTAGTAAGTGGTTAAAGTAAAACTTAACGAAAATAATCCAACAGGGAATAGTTTACAGATAAAACTGAAGATAAAAAACTGCTATAATGATATATTCATTTTTTTTATTCATTTTATTCTAGGAAGTTATATCCTATCGCACTAACTTCAACATTAAAAGGAGAAAGAAACGTTATCTGTATCAACTTTACTTATTTAAGTCGTGAAATTGTATACTTAGCCAGACGCAAGTAATCCTCAGTCCAATCTCATCCTCTAAGTGTAGATTATATTTGAAGAACTCAATATAACTAAGAAAATTCTTGAATGGATCGTATCAATGTCATGCACTTCTTTGATTTCGGTTGCTTTATTGGACTTTTGTCTACTGTCATTGCATGTACGATGGAAGTAAATTTTAGAATTTTCATTTGAAATTTTCTTTGTCTATGGACAGCTCTTATAGAAATTAAAATATCGTAGAAATCGCAACTCAAATAGATGTTTTTCACTTCGAGATGCTGAGTTTTGAAGGTGTTCGACTTGCTAATCTTTGCTCGTGGCATACAATCTGTATTTCAATTTTTCAGTGTCTGATGAAGGAAGCATTCGTGTGAGCTGAGACTTCGTATGATATTTCTAATAGACCGAAAAGCTCTTTATGGGCGAAGAGAGTTTCAGATTAAATCTCCTTTACTCGATTGCTGCATAGATATGTTCCTACAGGAGAAAATCCATCAAAACAACCAGAACTCAAGAAGAAAAAGACGTTGAGACGACCCATTCTAAAATTTTCGTAATCATATCAATCTCTTCAGACTGATTTATATCGGATTTAAAATAGCGCTTGACATTTGGGATCTCTTCTCATAAGGTACAGTTGTCAATTACTCAGTACTATAATTTAAATACTCTATTTGACTTCTTTAGATATTCACACTCGATGATTTTAAAAATAGCATGCTTCAGTGAGTTGAAGGAATCGTCATGCACCTTTCGAGTTTGAATGTAAAAAGAGCAAAACATTAAGCATTGAAAAGTAACAGAATAACCCTTTTTTCTTTCGATAGTTTCAATCAAGAGTATATATGAATCGTGAGATACATTTATTTCCACTACAATTATACTATATTCTGAAAGCTTCAGTACAACAACCTTCAAAATCATGATTCTTTTTTTCATAGTACAATTCATTAAAGTTCCATATTCAGAACTTAATTTGTAGCTGTGTAATAGACTAAAGACACTTTGTTTTCACACGTCTTCAAGAGATGATAGAAACTATATTACGATCTAGAGATTAACGAGAACAATTAAATAAAAATCCAAGGCATCATTTTTCTCTAGAAATATTTGAATTTATTTTTATGAAGAATATTATAATTTAAATCATTCATAACCATAAATTTATGATTTTTGACACTAACTTCTTTGATTTACTTTTTTTTTGTAAGGCGATGATACAAGATCCATCATCTCATCCTAAATCTTATATAGATAAATGTAATAAAAATTAAAGGACTAGCTATTGTGCCTATAATAAGGGCGCATCTTATCTTCATCTTTTGTTCGCTTAATAGTATGAGGTCAACCGATCACTATTCTTCTAGACGCTGTGACCTCGGTGACCGATTGTGTCTGTTTCTTACAATGCTCTCTTCTCATTTCTCTCTGCTATATAAGGTCCTGTTATATGTAAAATGGTCAGAGCTGGAGTGATGAAGTAGTGTAGTAAACATCATACACCAAGGATAGCAGTAACGCTACTCCTCCAGTTTCTCAGTGTTGATCAACAATAAAATAATACTGCAGTAGTAATGAAATAGTCTATCCTTATTTCGTTACAGCTATATGATCACCTTCGCTGGTGGAAACTAGTTAACTGCTTCATGTCTCAAGTTGTCTCTTACATAAACACATACTTACGTAAGAGGGAAAAAATGAAACAGGGAAATAGAGGAGATAATGAAACAGATGAAAAGTAAAATCAAAAAAACTAGAAGAAAAAGTGGTGACTAATGAAAGCACTTATCTAGAAATTATCACACAGAAAATTGATAAAATCCATTTTTAACTTTATTGTCTTTAATCAAACCACACGACTCCTAATTTGTTAATGTAGTGTATAAGTTTCTTTAAGCCAGCCTGAATAAAAGCATATCCTGAAAAACTAACCTTCATCTTATGATCATCATAAATTAGACTCTTCCTAATTTATCGTATAATTTTTAAGAATTTATTGAGAATAAATGTATAATTTATAAGTCATATAAAGCTAATTTTTTACTGGCATACTAGAGAGCCAACAGATTTTAAGTTATGGATGAAGAGAACAAAGTCAGAATAAATTTACAGTTTTAAATATATGATCGTTGTCTAACAGGTTTATCAAGGCGCTAAAAAATAGTGATGCAAATTTACGTAAACATTGAGCAAGTTCGTTCCATGAAATTCCAAATGTTTTCTATGCATCACAAACAAATGATGATTAAAATGTTCAAGTTTTAGTTCCAGTTGCACATTCCTTTTTTTATTTGTTAGTAGTATCTTTCTCGCTATCAGAAATATATTCAGTTGATAATAAAAGAAAGTTTTGATCTAAATTTCATTTCTTGAGCAAGTCACAATAGAAGTTGACCCTTGTTTGACTAGATTGGAAATCACGAACCATGACGATTAGATCTACAGGGTGATTGAAAAGTAACTCCCTATTTTAAATTCTTTATTACTCTCAAATGACAAAAGATATCATAACGATTATTTCATTGTTTTGAAGCATGTGTCATGCCATTTTATAGTAGATGAAACAAGCCAATTGATTATTTGACTATCTAAGATCAAGCACGAATTTCATCTCGAGAATGTCTGAAAATAACTCATTATTTTGAATAATTTATTGTTCTTATACGACAACAAATACTATAACAAATTTTTGTACTATTTTGAACTATGTGTAATACAATAACATATAATGTCTCAAACTTCTACATAGGTTCCTCTATTGTCTGTACACTTCTGTGGTTATTATAGTATCTGTTCTTATATAATGAAATACCAGTATTCAAAATAATGAGTTATTTTCAGACATTCTCGAGATGAAATTCGTGCTTGATCTTAGATAGTCAAATGATCAATCGGCTTGTTTCATCTACTATAAAATGGCATGACACATGCTTCAAAACAATGAAATAATCGTTATGATATCTTTTGTCATTTGAGAATAACAAAGAATTTAAAATAGGGAGTTGCTTTTCAATCACCCTGTATATCATGATAACTTCAAACAACACAAGAAAATTATTAAGAATACATGTCCGTTACATTATCTTTAACTAGAGAGAAGACTGTTATTGTATTAATGATATCAAGTTACTTTGCAATATTAGAATAAGTCTTTTTTTCTAGTATTGAATGGAAAAATTATGTGTCTGACAAAGTTTGTGATAACGCTCTGCAGAAAGTTATTATTTTTCGAAAGAAATTCTTCTATAAGAATAGTATCAAAATCAAATGTTATTTATCCACGCTAACTACTCAATTACCTAATTTCAAGTACACGGTGAAAAACAACTAATATAATTCTTTCATCTAGTATTGAGTGACCCTGTAGGACTTAATATTACCAAATATTTGGTACTTTCTCATCCTTTTTTATTGGGATTAGTGATTAAGGAAAACCACATAAAATTTGTTTTAGTCAACCTGTATTAACAATTTGTCTAAAGGGAGCATCAGCATCAAGTAGTTCTTGAAAAGAGATGAAAAACATCACTCTTAGATAGACGCTGAAAAGCAAAAATAACGAACATCCGTAGATGAATTATGGACATCGACTTCATCTTTGATTAGAGATTTTTCGAATAGCTTCGCAGTCTGAGAAACTATTATTAAACTGTCATACTGCTAACCAATGCTACAGTTATTATTAGCTACGTACCTACTGTAGTTACTATAAAAAAGTAACTAAGTAAATATTAGTTACTTATTTACTAGTAACTAAGTAAATATAAGTTACTTAGTTACTAATAACTAAGTAAATATAAGTTACTTATTTACTAGTAACTAAGTAAATATAAATTACTTAGTTACTATTAACTAAGTAAATATAAGTTACTTCGTTACTAGTAACTAAGTAAATATATAGTTACTATTTACCAGTAAATAAGTAACTATTTTAGTTACTTTACTTTAGTAAAGTAAATAAAAAGTAAAGTAAATATCCCACCCCTAATTTCTCCTGATACTACTAATGATGCATCATCAACATCAAATGATTTATTGTTAAAGGATTTTGGTATTAATGAAGAAACAAAGGTTTTAGATAATTTATTGAAACATGTTGTAATTAGTGGATCAACAATGAATGCTAATGAATTTATAAATATTGATACTCATGCTCCAACATTCAATGAGTGGAATGACGATTCGGAACGACTTGTTACTTTTGATAATATTACTCAATCAAATGAATTAGATGATGATGAAGAAAAAATCAATGAAGAAATACCACCAAAGTTTTGTGAAACAATCGAAATGGTACGACGATTACGTTTATTTTCTATTACGCAATCTCCACAACTTCATCAAGCTATTACTGGTGTTGAATCAATGTTAACAGACATTTATCTTGATTCAAAAACTTCTGTGCAAAGTACACTGGACAGTTATTTTAAAAAAACTTAGTTATGTGTTGTAAAAATTTGTGATATTAGGAAATAAATTATTGTATAAATAAATTATTGAAAGGAAGTACAATATCATTCTGTGCTCTCGAAAAGCATTTTCAAGTGAATATTCAGACTGTTTATGAGAGAATCTGCAAATCTCCGAATAATGAGCACCTCCTTAAACTGAGCACTTTTTGCCGGTCCCGATGGCGCTCAGATTAAAGAGGTTTTACTGTATATACAAATAATGATTGTCTAAAAAAGACGGCTCAGAAATATAGATGTTAATGAGCGCCTTCTCTTGCACACGAACGTATACGTTCGTATACACTGCAAACAGAACGATGAACACCGAATAACGAGAAAAATGTATGTTATTCGGAGAGAGATAAAAAGAACGAAAGACTTGTTGTTTTAACTATACAATACATTTGAAAAAGTTTCCTTGAGATTTTGTAGTTTGCCTTCGAGAATTTTAGCACACTTTGCTGAGTCTTTTATTCTTTTTTGCATGATGTAAATTTCATTGAGTCAGTAGGAGATCCAACATTTTGAAGTAGTTCCTACGAATTTTTTTCTACATGTCTGTCGTAGTTATAGGACAGCTGCATCTGAAGCGTACTTTGTAATTCGAGTTTCTTAAAATTTCTACTACAAACAAGTGCTGGCTCGATTTTTCACATCTTTTTTTGAATTCGTAGTATGCAGTAGAAGATTCAATGACATTTGAGCTTGAATTAGGCAGGTAATGAAATATTTATTTGAATTTAAAGAGAAAAAGAGAGTTTATAGATATATATGTTAGTATTGGATTATAAATAAAAAAAAGGGTTAGTGTTACTAGGAAAAACTAATCAAAGAAAAAAATATGAAGTCAGTTAAAAAAATGTTGCTTGTTGGAACATGTTTACGTGCCGCAGCCAGTGTGTTGTTAACTGTGAAAGAAAAAAAGATTGAATTATTTCAGAAAAAAAATATTTAAATAGTTCTGTGTGAGTGAATTGCTATTTACTCATTGATAACAAATCGACTTACCCGTTAGATACATTATTCTGTGCGTTTATTGCTCTATATTTGATACGGTGATATGAGATTATTCATAAACAGTGTCCATAGGTGTGTAAAGGCTTAAATGAGGATTAATACCGCGTAAAGTTACGTCCTTCTTCAAACTATAGGCCGACATGCCGTCAAAGACTGTGCACCGACAAGTGCAATTTTCATGATGCTGATTCTTGTCAATTTAAGTGCCTAGAAAGAATCCTCCGAAATATATCGCAATTGGATTCGAGTATTTCTGCTGAAGACTCATTTCATCATTGTTATGTTTTTAGCATTCTTTTTTTTTATGAATACTGAATTCGAGTTTTTTCTTTGATTATTATTTTCTGTTTTGTGAAAACTTCTTACGACAGTCTTAATTTTCATCACTACATTTCATAATGATAGCTATGGTGTTTCTGACATGTCCATTTCTCGGAAGTCTGCACGTGTATGCACTATGGCAGCAATTTCAACATTGTTTTCGTGAATGCAAAATTCACATGAACGAGATTGCAGCACGTGGTCTTGACAAAAATGATTATTTTTAGAACAGTAGAAATTGAAGTGATGGTTTATCCACCTAGTGGAGAAAGATTCAAACCGGCTGTGGTAACAACTTTAGTTATTATCATCAAGTCTTAAGCTTAATATAGTGTCATATCATTTTCCTTTTTAGGGCATCTGGGTAAATGAAATAAATCGATCGGTATTTGAACCTCAACTGTACGAGGTATATCGAACAGAAGTTTGAATTACTATGACGTAACACTGATCGGATACTCACGTATTCGTCGTGTGACTGTTAATGATCGAAAGTTGCTTAGAAATATTATCGTATCACTGTTGATGTATTGTGATTATAATGTACCAAGATCAAGACAAAACCAATACTTGATGTCTAGTTCTCAGTCAGTCTTGATGTCCATCTTAAAGATATTTTCACAGAGTCACTATGAAGATTGATCTATCCAAACAACTTCAACATTTAAAAAACGAATATTTCCCTCGTGAGGTATTATAATAATTGATATTAAAAAAATGTAACAAAATCCCATATTCAAAAACGAATAGCTGTTCAGTTTAAGATAGTATGATAGGCTATAGACTGAAAAACAAAATACATTTATCTGTCTTCTAAATGAGATAATTGATTATTTAAAGTTGAAGATTTTTGTGGATGTAAATTTTTTGTTTTGACGACTTCATTTACTCATAGACACAACGTGCAGTTTTGATTTTTTGACTGATATTGATGAGCATTACATCTAGTTATCTTATCAAATCAGTCATGAAATTTCGACTTGATCTAATGTCACGAGATGACATTTGAAAAAGATATTGTTTGGATACGATATAGAAAAATCAAAAGAAGGAATTTCAATCTGAACTTTTGATCACAATTAACCTTCATAATCCTGAGAATGTCCTAAAATTTTAAGTCAAAATGGATGCTTTCCTCTCGAAATATGCCATCCTGAAAACAAAGTTAATTTTGTGAAATGTCATCGTTTTCTCTTATTCGATGTCTTGGCAAGAAAGCATCCTTTTCGGCTGAAAATTTCAGAGCTTTCTAAGGACTATGAAGCCTAATAATAGGCAATATTTCAGATCAAGTTTTTCTTTCTTTCTATTCATTTATAAAATCACATACTCCTTCCAAGGAATATTGAATAACTCTAGAAGACGAACAAGACAATTCTTTTAACCTATAGCATGAGCATACTGAAGGTACATAGCCTCTATTATCGTGATCAACTTCTTTTTGTTATCCAAAAAATACTTCTCAGTTTTTAAGGTTTAAATATCGAGGATATATTAGCTGAACAATATTCTCTGAATAGAAAGCTGGCCTTTCTATATGGTGAGTATTGTTCAAAACGATCTATATCACGCTAAAAGAAGTCCTCATGATATTCTGGTTCTGTCTGAGGGATAGCACGAATTCTGTGAAGTACTGACTATTGTAGTTGGGTGTGGATGTTGTTCTTTTCATAAACGTATCCACATCTACACCCTTTGAAATCAGTCCGAGTTCAGTATCTCTTATATCGATGAAGTTATTTAGATTCTTCTGAAAGCTATACAAGCAAGCAGGAAATTCTGTCTAGAGGGTATATCAAGCTGAAGCTTTTAGTATCAACGTTTCTCATCTGGACCATTCACTGGAAAAATTCAGCTCAAACCGTCAGTTCTAAGTGATAAATCGATTCTGAAGGTGGGGCCCCTTAAAATGTGAATTTTGTTTAGAAAAAAAGTTTTCGATATCTAGGTTCAATTTTCTAAAGGAATACTACGTGGTTTTTTTCTTCACTTCTACATACTAGTTCGAATGAGACGTTGCCCGGCCTAAGCAGACAAAAAATAAGGGAAATAAGGGCAAACCAATAAAACTCATTATTTTGTTTGGCTTATTGGACTTCTCTCCTATTTTAGCGCCTATAACTCTATCAAATCATATCTACATGCCTAAAAGTTGTTTCATAATCCCAATTTGATGTGATGAGTCGATCGACGTAAAAGAGTAATATATTAATTCCTACCAAAAAATGACCCTATGGAGGAATGTTCGACTGACCAACTCAGTGTCGCTTATATAGCGTAGGTATTCAAAAATAGAATAGATTGACAACAACTGGCGATTAAGCGAGAAACTCCATGAAAAATCGTGCCAAGATCATCCACAAAATGGATTCATACATATAATCTCAGATTCTGCCTCCTTCGCGTGTGATTCACTGCAACAGATAGCGAAAAGTGTATGCACATCCGTGTCTGAGCTGCTCTATAGTTCTCTCAACAACACGTTACAATACGATCTTTCCATATAGAGACACTTATCAAGCAACATAGATCTATGACAGATGAATTTCACTCATTTACATAAACAATTGATCGCTTTATCGTTGAACGATTCTACAACAGTTCTCATTCATCCATATTTATCTTCATTTCCTCAACCATGGTGCAGATACCGTTTGGCTTTGTTCTCATCTCTTAAAATTAGCCTGCTTTATCTAGCAACAAGCAGACATCCTTCATGAGGGGCTAAAAAGTTGACTTTAAACACTGATCGAGATCACAACAATATCGAACACCCTCAACAAATCTTCCATTCAATTCGAAAGCTTCTTAGAATGAGCAGCGCCCTATTCACAAATGCTAACTGGTCATGAAACAAATGAACGATTCCTACGAAGCTTCTATTCGAATATTTATCGCACTTCAGCTCAGATATTGAAAGTTCATTAGATCTTCATAGATCCGCTAACAAATGTATAGCTTTTATCAATCCTTCATCTGAATATTCTGACGCTTCAACTGAGAAATGGTGGATTCATCATTTGATAACTCGTTACGAAACAAACGGATAACTCTTACGAAACATCTATTCGAATAGTTTACTCGCTCCCCATCACATATCCAGAGTTCATAATATGTTCACCATTGGAAAAACAAATGAATGGTTTTTACCAAGTTCTTATTCTAACATTTTACTGGCTTCATATCAGAGATTCAAGTTTCATCATACGTTCACTGATCAGAAAACAACTGGATAGTTTTTATTAATCCTCTAATCGAATATTCTGCTCCCTTCGTATCAGAGATCGAACATTCATAATATGTTCACTGATCAAGAAACAAGCATATAGTTCTTAACCAGTTTTTATTCTAATATTTTGCTGACTTCATATTAGAGATTAAAGGCTCATCAAAAGTTCACCGATTCAAAAACAATCGGATAATTTTATTAACCTTCTAATCGAATATTATACTCCTTTCATGTTGGAAATCGAACATTCATCAGATGTTCACTAATAAGGAGACAAACGGATAGTTTTTAGTAATCTTCTAATCGAATATTATACTCCTTTCATGTTGGAAATCGAACATTCATCATATGTTTACTGATCAGGAAACACAAATAGTTCTTACCAAGTCTGTGTTCTAATATTTTGCTAGCTTCAAATCAGA